CCTCCTCCTCCTCATCATCATCATCATCATCATCCTTCTCCTGGTTAGGAGAAAGGATAGTAAGGACGGGGCGACTTTCCAAGGCTACCCTTGCAGCCTTGCCCCTTCGGTATTTGGCACCGTTCGGCATTCTGTTGCGCTCCGCACGGAGAATGGCAACACGGCGTTCCAAGACCCTTGCATCCTTGCCGCGCATCCTTACTATCCCGGTCGAGTGTCACGGGGGGGAATATCATGGCGGGGGCCGTGATATTTCCCTAGGATTGATGGTGCCTCTTCTGAATCCCCCCCCCGAGGGCCGCGCACATGCCGCCGGCCATGACCTGCGCCCCTCCTCTTGGGCGCCCCCCTCTTGGCCGCCTCCGATGCCGCACGCGTGCCGCCCTCCGCGCGTTCCCGCCTCCTCTCCGGGAGCGCCCAGGAATTCGGGCAAGTGTGGGGCCCGAGTCCATGATGATACAGGAATGTTCCGATGCCTTCAGCACTTTGAACTGTGTGAGTTTTGGGGCACTCCACTTCGTGATGAAGGTTTGTCGGCTGATCTATCTACATGTATAAATGTATGTATGCATGTCTGTATGTGTGTATGTGTGTATGTGTATGTATGTGTATGTATGTGCATGCAGGTGTGTATGTATGTACGTATGTTTGTATGACTGTATATATATATGTGTGTGAATGTACATGTTGTCATTATATTTGTACATACATAAATGTATGTATGCATGCATGTGTGTAGGACTGTCTGTATATTTGTATGGATGTACGTATGCATGTATGTATGTATGTATGTATGTATGTATGTATGTATGTATGTATGAATACATGCATACATGTAACCAGGTATATGCGTTTGTGTACAAAATTATATGTACATACGTAGCAGCGTGCATATGTCTACACATCCATACACATACTTAGACATGGCGAGCTGCCTATGTAGGAATATAGATGTGCACACATGCAAAGTTGTGTATGCATAGATATGTGTTGCCATATGTTTGCCGTTCTCTCTCTCGCTCTCTTGCTCTTTCCACTTCTCTGTCTCCGTGCATATCTCCCCCTCGTACACCTCTATCTCTGTCTCTCTTCATGTGGCTTTCTCTCTGTCTTCCTCTCGCTCTCCCTCTTTCTCTCCCTCTCTTTTCTATGCTCCTTCGCCCTCCCTGGCTACAGATGCAGGCATGGTTTTCGAGCAGATGAAAGAGGCTGCGCTGGGCTGGTGGGGGCACCTCACCGACATTGCCCTAGAGTACCCTCTCAAGGAGACTTGCCTGGGACATGTCGGCAGGATTGAGATGTGTTGGCGTACTCTTGTGAATTCAGTTGGAGAGCATGTGTTAGGGTCTGGGAATAACCTGGGTAATCGGGCTCGCCCCTCCCCCCCTGGTTAACCTCACCCTGCCGATTGAGCAGGTCCAGGCATATACTTAGGCATTCCCAGACGGCGCCCGCATCGTCGCAGCACGAATCGTAGCATCGTCGCAGCATCGGTAGCAGCTGTAGGGGCCGCAGCACTGGTGCGCGCGGGCATATGTGGGCTGTCCACAGCGCGAAGGTTAGGTTATCGGCCGACCCCTCCCCCCCCGGGATGGCCCGGGTTATCGCCGATCCAGAAACATCGGTCTCTTGCGTTGCCGCGCCAATCCGCCGCTGCGTTCTGACGGGATGTATTTTTCGCATATATGTACAGATGCATATGTGTATACACGGCGAGTCCCCCTCGATTGCCTCACACTCCCCACGCGGGCGCGGCTTACGCCCATAGCAGGCGCTCCCTCCAGGGAGCGAACGCAGGGAGGCGCGCGTGGCCCTTCTGCTCGGAGCGCAGGCAGGCGCAGCGCAGCGACTTGCTCAACACAGTGAGCACATGTTGGCGTCTGATGCGCAGGTTGCCTTCGCAATCGCTCCGCGAGAAGCGAGACCAACAACAAGCAAACAACAACATTCCGAACACACGCGCACACGCAAGCATGCACACACGCACACACGCACGCGCACACGCGCACATGCACACGCACGCCAATCGTTGCAAGGGCGGTGGTTGCTTTGGAAGGCCCTGCTCGCGAGATTGGTTGATCAGAATGTACCTCTGCGCGTCGCCCTGCACAGAGCGCGCGGGCACAGCATCTCGGAGCGTGCTGAGGCCCGCGGGTCTGCTCGCGAGGCTCGAGGGGTTGGGGTCGGGAGCGGCGTACGCGGGAGCGCGCCCTGCCGCAGGCTTCTCTCCAAGCCAACCGTTGATAGTTCTCACACATCTAGCATCTTCTCACTGGCCATTCTTCCACCCTTTTGGCGAACTCCCAGTGGATCGGAGTCCCACGGGATCCCGCTGCGGCAGCCCGCGTTCCCACCTCTGGTCAGCGCAAGTCTGCATTTTCTCCGCCACTGGAGAGTAGGTCCTGTCAGGTCTCGCGTAAGTCGAGGTCCATTCAAGAGAGACTGCCCCTGCGGGTTACGGACAACGGTAAAACAAGCAAGTCGGAAAAATTGCCGCGAGCGCCCGGCCATCCTCATCTCGTCGTAGCGCAGCTGGCGGCAGATCGTGGGCGTCGGGCTGCGCTGCGAGTTTGTATCAGGCCCGAGATGTTGCCCGCCGTCGTGCCTGCCCGAGCAGGTGCCAGCGGCCGACAGCCGTGCTCCCGCAGGTCTTTCGGGGGGATCTCGGTCATGATCATTGGTGACATGCAGGTGATGAGGACGTTCATTTCGATGACGATGTTGAGGACAACGACCACTTTGATGGTGCTGGCGACGACGGTGGTGAGTACGATGGAGAGCATGGTGCGTGGCGAGACTGACAAGTTTGAACGATTCTGGCGATGAATCACCTCTGATCTGATCTAGTAGTGAGCGCTATCGCGGCAGTGCAAACGTAGGCATACGATCCGCTGAAGGCATTGTGACTTCGAGCCGAGATCAGTTGAACGATGCGGCAAACGGATTTCACCATCACACGATGAGCGATCTACATGCTCGGACTAGAATATGTGGTGGTGACCGCAACCAATATTGCCCAATGCGTGCCAGATGTAGTAGCGACGGGCACAGCGGAGGCCACGGCAAGACCCCCACAACAGATAGGTATACATCTGAGACCCTGAGATGGCCCTGGTTCGGAATGCTGGTGGTGTGTATAGCTGCAGTTCCCGTGCAAAGGGCGAGTCCCGGGAACGTTGCGTGAGCTCAGCGGCCGTGGCCGAGAATCTGTTGAGTCCGTCGCCGAATATTTGTTGTTGCTGTGCGACATGTTGCCTACCGGCTTGCTGGCTGAGGTCGCCCGCCTAGATGGAGGCATGGGTTGAGGGCTGGTACTCCTCCTCCTCCTCCTCACCCCTCCCCCTCCCCCTCCTCCTCCTCCTCCTCCTCCTCCTCCTCCTCCTTCTGTGCTGAGGAGGCGTGAACCGCCGCTGCTGCCGTGCTCGTCATCCTGCTTCCCCCTCAGTGCGCTTGCAGAGCCGACAGCGCGCTTGGGCCTTGGGCGAGTCGAATGCGAACCGAATTGCGAATCGTGCTGCGAATCGAAGTGCAATGGCGGGGAGAGGTGTGAGGGACGGAGGGATGGACGGGTGACTGCGGGAGGGACAAGTGGGAGGAGAAGGGCGGGAGGCGAAGGGAGGGGGGGGGCACAGGGCATCGAGTGAGGGGAGGGAGATGGATCAGAGGAGGGGGTTCTCCTCCTCCTCCTCCTCCTCCTGACGAGTGTTTCTGGACCAGAGGGCTCATCCCAACCAAGTGGATTGCAGTGTAGCCGCCTCCAGAACACGAAAGATGGGTTTTCCAGGATGAGTCTACAGTCGCAGATCTAGCCCCAGGGACTACTGAGAGACCATGGTTTTGCTTCGGCGATGCAAGTGGCGGGAAGGATACTTTGTCGCCCAGGCTACGTCTAGTGGGCATGGGACTTGTAGTATATGACGAGCTGGGCGGGAACATGCAGACGGTCTGTGGTGGTTGGGCTGCGTTACCTGGCATGAGGCAAACAGTATCTCGTGGTGAGTTGTATCGCCTCTGGTATGCGATCAGGACCGTACCTGGTCATATGTACTATGTGGCGGACAATGCAGCAGCATGTTCAGGATGGCACGAGCAGCAGTGGCGATCACCAACGGGCAAACATGCAGATCTGTGGTACAGTACCGGGCGCGAGCTGCACGGCAGGAGGGAGATCACCGTGATGTTCGTCAACTCCCACCTTGACTTGGACCAGGCCTCGGCTCAGAACCCACGGTACTTCATCGTGGGCAATCGCGAGGCTGACCGCCTGGCCGCCTGCGGCGCCGAGCTGGCGCGCCTGGCGGAGGCCACCCGAGGGAGAGTGAAGCAAGTTGAGAGTATGGCCTTCGCCGTTAGGATGAGGATCCTCCAGAGCACCCTCGAGGCCATCAATGCTGAGGAAGTTCTCGAGCGTGAATCCAGGTAACAGCGTAGAGGGCGTCGCACCGAGACCAATGTTGTGGTGCCATCCACGCCCAGTGTTTGTGGCTTTTTTCGCTTCCCCCCATCAGTTTGGTGAGAATGGTCGTTCGTGCACTAAGTGTCGTGGGTCAGCCTCCCACGCTCGGAAAAAGGTTTGGCTGGGCTCACCGTGTTTTGACCTAGCTAATGTGGGCGGCGAGGTTTTTGAACCTCCCCCTGGGGCCGGTGTGCATATCTCAGGGGGGTTTGCTCACCACTCGCACGTACTCAGGTTTCACAAGAAGGTAGGGGTGTGGTTCTGTAATGTCTGTTGGTGTTTCGCGACCGAACAGCTCGCGAAACTCAGTGAACAGTGTTCAGGCCGCCTAGATGGCAATCGAACTGATTACCGTAAGCGAATCTACCAGGGTCTCTGGCCCAAGGCCTTCAGCAAGGCCGAACTCGTAAAGAGGGCGGCTGAGCAGAAGCCAGTTTTAGAATAGAACCCCCTTCAGCGACCCATTCGCCCAATCCATAGCTCCATAGCTCCTCCTCCCCCTCCTCCTCCTCCTCCTCCTCCTCCTCCTCCTCCTCCTCCTCCAGGGCGAGAGGGTGGGGAAGACAGCCAAGGGGAAGGGATGACGATGTTGCGACGGGGGGGCTGCGCTGGGACACTCCCAACCGTCCCGAAGGCCCCGCGGTGGAGCACGGGGCGCGCGCAGCCGCCCCAGATGCGGCCAGGCGTGCTGTTTCTGGCGGGGTCCCCGCGCGGCCACGGGAGCGGGAAGCCCTCGCGGTTGTGTTTTGTTGTTCGTTTTGGCAGGGAGTGTACAGGAGAACAGGTCGAGCAAAGCTAACACAACGAAGACATAACGACAACACAACGAAAAGCAATGTTTCGGTGCAGCCCTCGCGCGCGCGCCCCTTGCGCGCTCTCGTGGCGAGGAGCTGGCGGCGGCCACGGGCAACTTCGGCCCCAAGCATCGCCTGGGCGAGGCCCCGCGTGCCCCGCGCGCCGCGGGGGAGGGCCGCGCCGGCCCTGGCCAGGCGATCCTCTTGTGCCCAGGCCAAGGTAGGTCGGTGATGAAAGGTAGCCAGCGTCCTCCGCACTGCCCTGCACCGCCCTGCCCTGCCCTGCTCTCTCTCTCTCTCTCTCTCTCTCTCTCTCCCTCCCTCCCTCTCTCTCTCTCTCTCTCCCCCCCCTCCTCCTCCTCTCTCCTCCTCCTCCCTCCTCCTCCTCCTCCCTCCTCCTCCTCCTCCTCCTCCTCCTCCTCCTCTCTATCTCTCTCGCCCTCTCCCTCTCTGTCTCTCTCTTCTCCTCTGTCTCTTGCCGGGGCGGCTCGTGCCCTGCGGCGCAGGTCTCCCGCGGTGGCGCGAAGAGGACAGCGCTTTGCGCCTCGCGGTCCAGAGTCGCAGAGCTGGCTTCCCCGCCCAAGGGGGCAGCGCGAGAGTGCGACGGCTCACGCGCTTTGCGCTTCGCGCAGCGCGAAGCGCGATGTTTGGCATACATGACCATGTGAGCGGAGTCCAGGCTGAGCGGAAGACGCCGTGCCGTTTGGCTCAAGCCGTTCTCCAGGGGCGAAACGCGTCTACTCTGGACAAGCCCCGAAGCCTGAAAGTGTAGGAATCCCCTCGTTCAACATCGCGTGCTAGCTCCCGAGCGCAGGTACACCACGTTGGTCGCCCTGGACACGTCGCGCGGGGTCAGTCGCCACAGGGCGCGGGACCACTTCTGGGCTGCCAAACGCAGCGATCTCCCGTTGGGAATCGAGAGAATGGGAACAAACGGGGTAGTTCTACGTCCAGAGGACCTGATTACTTCTGTCGAAGAAACAAGCCCCATGAGCATAAACATTTGGCGCTGCGCGCGGAGTTCCTGGATCCGCGCTGGGCACCCCCCGCGGCGCCTCCTGCGCCGCCACTGGCGCAGCGCAGATCCAAGAAATCCGCCCAGAGCGCCAAAAGTTTATGTTTGTTTCCAGGGGGAAACAAAAACACGCATACACAATGAATCGTCGATTCCCCAGAAAATATGGGAAATATGGGAAGGTATGGGGAATCCTGTTATTTGTGTCTATTTATGTGTGTGTCCCAGGGCCCCTTCATTTTGGTCATTTTTCTTCTATTCTGAGTTCTTCCGCCACTGCGTCACCTCCGTTCCCTGCATACGACGCCCCCTGGCCGACACTGGCGTCTGTCCCTGTCTGCCTCTGCCGGTGTCCGTTCCTGTCCCGGCTGCTTTCCAGATCTCCGACGTCGTTGCTTTCCTTGTCGTGGGCCCTTGCGGCTCTCGACGTCATCCTCAGGACTAGCTATCCTTTTTTAAGTTGGTGGCGGACCGAAGCGCTCCTCCAGGGGCCCAAGCTGAGAAAGACCCGCCGCCATTATCGGTTCGTGACGCCGGATTTATGGGTCCTCCTCCTCTCCACCGGGGGTTGCTCGGAGGCGACGACAGGGGCGAATAGCCCGGGAGCAATACATGTAACCAGGGGTGCCGATGATCTCTTCTTCGACAAGGCTCCCGGGCGAATACTTGTAATGCCCGCCCCTGGGCTATTCGCCCTTATCGTCGCCGCCGAGTTGCCAGAAGGTGCTCCTGACCCCAAGGTGTCCCCTGCTTTGCGCGCCATCTTGGAGCCCCATAGGGCCCTTCGGCCCTCGTGAGGGGTGCTCTGGCAGAGAAAACATGTCTCAAGGGAGGAAGAACCACCCGGACCGGACAGTTGGCGTTCACTAAACGGCTCTGGGCGTTTACTGAACAGCCCTGCCCTGTTCGATTCCTTCTTTGGGCGCGTTTACTGCACGACTTCGCGTGTCGGGGTGGTCATTCTGGGGGGGGGATGTTTTGACTTCTAGTGTTGTGACGGGGCCTCCTCTGGTTGGCTTTCGGGCCACACCTCGGGCCTCCGGCGGCCGTTCGGGACGACTCTGCCATCCCCGGAGTGCCTTCGACGAGGCGCAGCTGATGGAAACCAGCCCGTGCCCCCAAACCTTTTGAATCGGGGGTGGACAGACCCCCCACCCTGACTCGTCGATTAGTGAATTGTCCGTTTTCGGTTCTCGAGAGGGCGCTGCGGCCATTATTTTCCAGGCTTGCGCCCGCCAGGTTTGGGCCCGAGGTCATTTTCACTAAACCACGCTTTACTAAAGGGGGTTTTGTCCATCCCCGATTGAAAGCCTGAGATGGGCCACCTGTGACATGACCTGCGGCGTGGTTTAGCAGTGGTCCCCAGATCTTTCCAGGGGTCCGCTCTGGCTCTGGCTCGAATCTCGAAGGGGACTCCAGCGAGAAGCGCCCCGCGGATGCCCAGAGACGTGCTCCTTGACCCCCTTCGTTGCCTCGGCGGGGGCGTCAAGGAGCGAGGAGGGAGGAGCGAGGAGGGAGGAGGGAGGAGGGAGGAGGAAGGAACGAGGAGGGAGGAGGAAGGAGCGAGGAGGGAGGAGGGAGGAGGGAGGAGGGAGGAGCGAGAAGCGAGGAGGGAGGAGCGAGGAGCGAGGAGGGAGGAGGGACCCCCTGGGAGCGCAGGGCGCTGCTGGCGCGGTCTTCCGCGGCACGCTCCGCGGGGGCACGGAGGCGCGCCGCCGCGCATGCGACGCGCCGCCCCCCCCCCCCCCCTGCGCTGGGCTCGGCGGGCTGCAGCGTGCGGCGTGCGGCGGCGTGCGGCGGCGTTGGGGCGACGACGGCGGCGAGGGCGGCAATCGGTGGTTCAAAAAGTAGGGGCACAAGCAATGAGGGACACAAGCAATGACATGGACATGAAAACTCTGAGGTCTGCACGGATTTCTCGGATCGGCGCTGTAGCCCCCTGGCGGCGCCTCTGGCACCGCCCTTGGCGCGCTCCTGCGCGCCAGGGAGGGGGCTCCAGCGCCGATCCGAGAAATCCGCGCGGACCTGCGAGTTGTTATGTTCATGTCAGTGCTTGTGTCCTTAAAAATGGGGTCCTGAGGGATGGGGTCATGAGGGCGAGGTGCCTCGAACAATGGAAAGCCACCCTCAGATCCCTTCCTATCCTCAGGGCCCCATCCCTCTGGATCCCATCTTTGAGCCCCCGGGGCCACGGCTGCGGCGCCGACGCCGACGCCGACGCCGCCACTGCCGTCGCCGCAGTCGCTGTCGCGGTCGTCGCCGCCGTCGTCACTGTGACGGCGACGGTGGCGGCTCGCTCTCTTTCCCGGTCGATTGTTCTTCTTGGCGCTATGCTTGCACCCAGTACAGTGGAGACCCATGCCAAGAAACATCTTGCTTGCCTCCAGGGTGCCCTGGGTTTCTTGGGTTTCGATGGTTTTGCGATGGAAGGCGCGACGTTCCCACACCAAATATCTATAGACGTCCTGGGGTCTCAAGGTTGGGTTTCTTGTGGAAGGTTTCTTGTGGACTGGCCTCCACTGTAGCTTTTCCTGCTCTCCAGGAGATGCGGGTCTGATCATTGTCGTTCCTGGTTGCCGCGCTAGTCCCTGGGATGGTTGCGTTCCCCCTCTTTCTGCTTTGTCGCCAGCGCCCGTTGCAGTCATCAGCCCGTGTCTGAAGAGTTGCCGCCACCAGGCCCGACGTGCGTCCATCATCCCTATCAGCCCTGCTTGTCCCCAGCTATCCCTGGTTGCCGCCACCAGTCCCTACTGACCCCTACTCGGCCTGGCTAGCGCTTGTCGCTCACCCTGCCAGCTGTTATGAGCCCTTGCTAGCCCCACAAGCACCGCGCACCCGAGAGGCCCTGCTTGTCGCCATCGTTTGTTGTCGCACTGGCCCCTACGATCCCAATCCCCAGCCCTATCAGCCCTTGCCTAGCCCCGCTAGCCCCACTAGTCCTGCTGGTCGCCAGACACCACCGCCAGCCCATGTTAGCCCTGATTTCCCCTGCTCTCCCTGCGTGTCATTAGCGATAGTCGCCACTAGTGGCCTCCTTCCAGCCCGCTACAGCCTCGCAAAGGTTTTCTCCGAACACCGCCACGCACGCCCATGCCGACCCACAGCGTGTTGGGACTGTCCACGCCCATGCCGCCCGCCATTTTGTAGCGCAGTCGTGTTACACGTGGGCCGCAATGGGTATCCATGGCACCGTGCCAATATTTCGGTTTGTACACGGCCACATTAAGAGCACGTGGCACATCCCAGAATATGTCGAAACCGCATGGCGACCATAGCGAATGTCACCCAACCGCGCAGACATTCGATGATTTCTTTCGTGCAGTCTGCCAGCTCGAATCACCACCGCCAGTTGTGAGGACGTCTCTAACGAAACAGAGCCGAAACCATGTCAAACGAGGGAACAAGCGTAACTGAGTCGCAAACGAACCAAACCAGGGCCAGATCAGACAACTTGTGAGGACGTCCCAAACGAGGCAGGCCCAAACCAAGCCAAACCAGGGCCAACCCAGGCGAATGCTGAGGACGCCTCAGGCGAAACCGGGCCCAAACCAGGCGCATTTCGAGGATGTCTCAGGCGAGGCGCGTGGCTAAACCATGCCAGGCCAAGCCAAACCAGGGATCAAACCAGGCAGATTTTGAGGACGCCCCAGACAGAATCGACCCAACCGGGCCCCATCCACTGTCCTTACTTCCAGTTGAAGGAGTGGATCACCCCAGAGTCCCCCCCTGGCAGGCGGAAGCCCGTTTCAAGTTTTGTGTGGGGGAAGGTCGTTTGGACCGGGCGCCCGCTGATGTGGACGGGGTCGGGCGCAGAAGCCTCAACTTGTTTTTCGGGCGTTGTTGGGGCCCTGGTGTGGCGTTCAGACTAATGCTCCCGAACCCGTAGTGCTGCTTATCGCCAGTAATGATTGCAGCCATGAGCCTTTGGCCTCTGGGGTCTCTGGCAAACCCGCTCGTTTTGATTGTTTCCGGCGCTGGTTGCCGCCAGCAGCAGCCCCCATGAGGCCCGTGAGCCCCTATTCGCCCTGCTCTCCCTGCCTGTCGCCCGCGCCGGTCGCTGGCACAAGCCCTTGCCTCTGGCCCCATTCGTCTGGCTTGTCGCCAACGCTGGTTGCCGCCGCTGGCCCACTGGCCCCAGCGGCCATGATCCCAGAAAGGAGGGGGTATCGGCATCACGAGCGAGGACTCCTGCCACTCGCCCCGGTGGTCATTGATTTGGCGCCAGCGCTGCTGGCTGTCTCTGTCCACTTGCACACGGCTCATTTCTTGCTGCCTCTTCTGGGGTATGTGCGTGCGTTTTTGGGCCTGTGCGCTCGTTGTGCGGGCATGTGCGCGGCATGTGCCCCGCATGCGCGGGCGTTCCGGCAGTCGACGCGGAATGATCCAGCGACATTCGCATTTGTGCGGGCACGTGCCGGGGCATGTGCCTTTCCCGCTCGGTCTTTGCCATTAGAGCGTTGTCGGCGACCGTGCGGTCATATTCTCGGCGTGTGCGGAAATCTTCGTGCAGTTTGGGGGGCGCTAGGGCGATGCAGTAGGTGCTCGCGCCACAGCTGCTTACTCAGGCTCTGCCCGCATATGCCCGCACGTGGCACCGCTCATGACCGCCTCTCCACCTCGCGCTCGGGGTCAATCTGATCGTTCAGTAGAAGTTCATCCCGCAGAGGGCCCGAAACTGAAACAGTGAGCACGTCACGCCACTGCACGGTACTGTTAAGTCGGGCGTGTCCCTCTACAGGAGGATTAGTCAAAAATAGTCAAACACTAGTCAGGGGACGATGTTTTGACCATCCTTGAGTTTTTGTTTGCGTTTTTTGGAGGCATGTTTAAATTGTTTCGTCCAAAATCCCCGCGTGGGGCGACATGCCCGACCTAACGGTGCTGCGCTTTTTCCCTACCAGGTCGTTTGTTGGAGTCTTTTTATGCACAACGACGTGGCACGGCGAGGCACCCCGTGCCGCGGCACGAGATCGCACAGACCACGGCACGGCGCGCCACGTCACCACGGCATGGCACAGTATGGCAGGGCAGTTTTGCTTTGTCGGGTCGCTTTTGGGCCCCGTCGGTGCACGGCGGCACGGCACGGCACGGCAACACGGCAGGGCACAAGATTTTTATGTTGCCAGGCTTTTCTGTGAGCCCCCCTCCAGTGCACAATGGCACGGCACGGCACAGCACCACGGCACAGCGCGGTCTTCTGTTCTGCCAGTTTGCCATGTCACGTCGTGGCACCCAGCTCGGCACTGCACGGCACAACATTTTTGCCGTATTTGTGCTCTGTCGGTGTTCCAGGATAACCCGACACGGCGCGACACAGCGCCACGGCACGGCGATTCTGTTTCTTATATACTACTAGTTTTAACCACAATGGACATGTCAGTGAACATTGGCAACGCTCGCCGGTTATATACATAGAGAGAGAGAGAGAGAGAGAGAGAGAGAGAGAGAGAGAGAAAGAGAAAGACAGAGACAGAGACAGAGAGCGAGAGAGAGAGAGAGAGATGCTGGCACACAGAGCCCAGCCTGTAGTTAGAGCTGTATTTCGGCCCGCGTGGGCCCCACGCAGTGAGGTATATATATATATATATATATATATATATATATATATATATTGCACCGTGGATGCGTAAACTTTGTGGTCTACTATATGTGGTGCAATCTTCGTGGTGCAATACATGAGTTGAAAGCTATGCTGTGCAACATATGTGTCGTACAGTCTATGTGATGCAAGTTGTGTGGTGAACAATGTGGTGCAAGATATATGGTGCTCGTTCTGTGGTGCAGTTGATGTAGTGCAAGTCCTGTGTTGCAATACAGACCTGCAGAACTTGAAGTCGTCGACTCCACTGCTCGCGCATTCGCCCTACTCTCCCACCCGCAACTTCTTTTAAGAACCCGTGCGGCCGTGCTTATTGTGACGACTTGGCACTGGTTGGCGCATTTTTGCGGCTGCGCTGGCGCGCGCAAGCTCGCGCGCAGAGCGTTCAGCTGATTTGGCACAACCGACGCGGCCGCGATGGCGCTTACTGATGACAACAATTCAGCGTGTCTTCCGTAGCCACTTTGGCTCAAGCCATGTTGGCTCAAGTTCGAAACGCTGCCCCGACGTTTCGAGCTTGGACGCTGCCAAGGGGTTGGCCCGAACGTCCCGAGGTTAGGCCTCATTTTCTGCACGCTCGACCCCTGCGCGAGCTTCAGTGCCTCGCAGGTCCTCTTTCGGCCACGCAACGGGTCGGATTGCACCAGTCAGCCCGATGCCGCCCCCAGATAATGCAGTCCGTGGTGTCAGGCGAGTCAGCAAGTCGGGGTCTCGCTCGCAGTCCAGACGGGTGCCGAGAGAAGCGATGCTTTCTGTCAGTTCAAGTCCTGCTCGCTCGCCTGAACGGTTTTCGATGAGCCCAGACTGTCGCGATTCTACTCGGAGCCGCCGAAGCCACAGCAGCTACGCCAATGAACAGGAGGCGGCGCCGGAGAACCTGCCCTCGTGGATGAAGCAGCTCATCGGCAGTGTCAAGGACTCAAACATTCGCATCCAGACCTTGGAGCAGAACTTCTCTCAGGAGGTTCAACCGCTCCAGCAAGCTATCTCGACTACGGACAAGAACGTTCACCTGCTCAACTCGCGCATCTCGAACATCGAAGTTGCCAGTGCTGCTTCCATCAAGGAGGCGGTCTCCGTGGCGGTGGAGCTCAAGATGGAGAAGATA